ATCCTACTGTCTTCAGCTCTGTTACACGTGACGAAATAACCAGTGACTCCTGTCACTGATTTGGGGTCAAGGGGAAGGTGGGTAACAAAATGCATAGAAAAGTTCCTGAGATTAAGAATCTAGGAGGGAGAAAACGACAAGCAACATGTTGCTATGGATAAAAGCTGAGAAACAAGATATGGTGAAGAGGAGGGAACACCTTGGCGAGGCCCCAAAGAAGAAGAAAGTCTGGATGGGAGGTGACGAGGGACAACCACTCCTGGGAAAGACAACCCAACAGGCCTGGCGGCAGGAACCTCAAAGGCCAGAGGTTCAGTTTTGTGCTGCTCAAGGAGAGAAACGAAGAAACAAACCCACTGCCAGGGAGTGGATTCCAACTCATAGTGACTCCCATTGTTTTTCCAAGGCTGTAAATCTTCATGGAAGTAGGTTACCCCACCTTCCTCCTGTGGAGCAGCTGGTGGGTTTGAACCACCAACCTTCTGGTTAGCATCCAAATGCCTTACCTCTATGCCACCAGATCTCCTTAAAGAGAGAACAACAACAAAGAAGACCAAACTCACTGCCATCGAGTCAACTCGGACTCACAGTGACCCCCACTGGGTTTCCGAGGCAGGTAATCTTTACAGAAGTGGACTGCCCCACATTCCTTCCGGTTAGCAGTCAAATGCCTTAGCTACTGAGCCACCAGAGCTCCTTAAGGAGAAAACCAAAAAAACAAAAACAAACAAACAAACAAAAACCCCAAGCCCACTGCTGTTAAGGCAATTCCTACTTATAGCGACCCTCACGGGGATTCCGAGGCAGTAAATCTTTATGGCAGTAGATTGCCCCATCTTGCTTCTGCGGAGTGGCTGGTGGGTTTGAACCACCAATGTTCTGGTTAGCATTCAGATGCCTCAGGCACTACACCACCAGAGCTGTCAAGGAGAGAACAGTGCCTGGCAAATAGAAGGACGGTAGCTGTTGAATATGGGCATCATTTGACTGCTAACCAGAAGGTTGGCAGTTCAAATCCACCAGCCACTCTTTGGAAGGAAGGTTGGGCAATCTACTTCCGTAGTGTTAATACCTCAGAAACCCAAGGAGGGGTCACTATGAGTTGGATCCAACTGCACGGCAGTGAGTTTGGTTTTGGTATAGCAGAAATGCTGAGCTGAAGCTAGAAAGACTAAGACTCAAATCCAGAGTCTACTACTCACTGTGTGACCCTGAGCAATCACTTAACCTTTGAACCTCAGGACAGGTGTAATTACCATCTAATTCCAGAGCTGTTGGAGCACTGTATTTGCAGTATCTGGGGACTTGAATCCTCTTATTCACCTAGCAAATTCCCATTTAGGGGTAGTGGTGGTTCAGGTCTCCCATGCCCAAGACTTGGGTTCCGTTCCTGGCCAACCCCCCTCACAAGCAGCCACTACTTAACCGTCAGTGGAGGCTGTGTGCTGTTCTGACGCTCAACAGGTTTCAGCAGTGTCCAGGCTAACACCAACTAGGAGGAAAGGCCTGGCAATCTGGCAATCTAAACCAGCCAGTGAGGGCCCTAGGGGCTGCCGACAGTCCGACCTACAACTGCTCACGGGGATGGCGCACAATAGGGCAGTGTTTCATTGTGCGCTGGGCTGCCATGAAGCCAACTCACGACAGTTATCAGCAATTCCTTTGTTAAAGCCCTAAACTCCAGCACCACCTCCTACAGGAAGCCTCCCAAGATGTCCTCAGGCAGCCCCCCAGCCCTCTCCTCTATTTCACTAGATAGGCCCTTCTCTGACCCCACCCTCCTTTAGCATGATGGCCTCTTTCCTTTGCCCCCACCAGGCTCTAGGCTTCAGAAAGGGAGGATCAGGGCATCTTGGCATCTCTTGGCCCCAACTATGCCCCATACAAGGTGGGTGTCTACATATATGCCAGTTCCTTCCCAGAGAAAGAGGAAGTGACTAAGTCTGCCCAGGGGGTCAGGAGGGTTTCAGGGTGATCTCAGTAGATTCTGAGGGATAAGCAGGATTTGCCGTGGGAAGGGAAACGTTCCAGGTAGAGATGGAAGCGGTGAGGGCACACAGCATGGAGGTGAGAGAAGGGATGATAAGGCAGACCCGTGTGTCACCAGAGTATGTGTCAGAGCATGGAGAGAGACGAGGAATCAGGGCCTAGATCCGCAAGGGCCTTGAATGCCATGCCAAGGGTTCTACCCTCCAGGAAGCGATTAAAAACTTTACCTAGAACTACATCAGTTAGGGAGAGCAGGGGGCAGAGAGACCTTCAGAGGAAGCAGCACTGGTTTAGGGGGATGGGAGGGCAGAGGGTGGCCTGTGGAGGAAAAGTGACAGGGCTCTGGGCCATCACCTGGGAGCTGGACTCGGGTGACAGAGCAGTGACAAGAATCTGAACAACAGATCTGCATCCTGTCACCCCTTACACCAAAAACCAAACCCAACCCAACCCACTGCCATCAGGTTGACTCCGACTCAGGACAAGGCCGTGTACATCCGAGCAGAACTGTGCTCCAGGGGGATTCAGTGGCTGGGATCGCAGGGAGGCAGACGGCCAGGACTTCCTTCCATGGTACTGCTGAGTGGATGTGAACCACCAACCTTCGGGCTAACAGCCTGGAGCAAACCACTGACACGCCACAGGGTTCGCCCCTCAGCCGCTACCTTAGTCAATTTCAACTCCTTTAGTCAATTTCAACTCACTGCGACCTGACCCCACAGAACTGCTCCTAAGAGTTTCCAAGGCTGCCAAAACGTTCTCCCCCGGAGCAGCTGCTGCAGTCAAACCGCTGGCCTTTTCGTTGGCTGCTGAGCGCTTTAGCTGCTGAGCCACAGGCTCCTTTTCACATTCGTTAAAGGGTCTCCTTCCACAATCAGCCCAAGCCACACACACAGTGAACAGGACTAGGTCAGGCAATCTCCATTCCACTGACGGGCAAAGTGAGGGCCAGAGAAGGCCAGAGACCTGTCCTGGCCACTAAGGAAATGCAGGGGTGAGGTGGGAGGGGGGGGCTGTCATATCTGGAACCAGTGGCCAGAGTGCTCAGGGAGGCAGGCCTTCTTCAGCCATTTGACAGACACGCTCATCACCTTCTGGAACCAAGTCTCTGAAGACATGGAGATGACCTTTGACCTTTGACCTCCAAGTCATCTTGAGACCGGAATGGTTACCTGGACTTCAGACCAGCTGCATCTTGTGAGAGAGGGAGAAAGCCACCCCACTGACGAGTAGGATTTCCGTGGTCAGGCAGGCCAGGGGGGCTTCCCCACAGGGACAATCCAAGCCCCATGGGGGGGTTTACTGCAGGGCTAGAAGAGAGCCAGTCCCTCCAGCAAAGGGAACTTGCTGAGGGAGGCCACCCTTTTCCACCTTTCTAAGAAGCCCCCCATACCCTCTCCTCCTAGCGCCCAGGCCCCTGCAGGGCCGCAGCCTGAGTCATCATCCCTATTTGAATGGCAGCCAGGGAATCTGCCAAGGGGGCTCTGGGGGCTAAGGGCCAAGGGTTGGAAAACCAAGGCCACTCAGTTACCTCTATCCAGGGAACCTGGAGACCGGCTAGGGGTGAGGGTGGAGAGTGGGCAGCTGCAGGGCTGGAGGGTATCAACAGCCAGAGGGGCTTGGGGAGGGGGGGCAGGAGGCAGGCAGGTCCAGAACCTGAGCTGCTGGCTTTTGTTTTCAAATGACCTGTTTAATAATTACCTTTGCAACCAAAGTGGCAAGGCTCCCAGGTCCCCAGCCCAGCAAAGCTGAGGATTTCAACCTTCCATACCCCACTGAGCACCCTGAGAAGAAAGTCAACAAGATACCACTGGCCAGTCTTTCTCTACCTCGCAAACAATGGCAGGACCGAGCTTGGCGCTCAGACACCCACAGCCAAGTGGGCTCGAAGCAAGAACTTTAGCAGACGGGTAACAAGCTCCGACTGAATTATTCCCTGCGTCCCTTGAGCTCAACACCAAAGGGGGCAGCCTGGGGTGGGGGGGGAGGCTTGTTTGAACATTAACTGTGACCTGTAATTTATCTTTTCATTTTAAAGCCAGGAAAAATTCTCTCTGCCCCAATCCCTCCAAAACCAATCAGCAACTTCATCATCCTTTTTTTACAACCATAATGGTGGGAAAACAAGAGACTTAAGTTACAGCAGCTATGTTGCACTGTACTGAGCTCGGCCCCTAAAAAAAAATAAAAAACCCCAAACCCCCAAAAAAGCACTAATCCAAGTACCCTCTTGGGCTGAAAAAGTCAAACCCTTACCTGGCACTGGAAAAATCCAAGTTTTTACCTCCCAGGGCCTTTCAACTATTTTTCCCCCTGCAGCATCCAAGCCCAGCCCTAAGGCAAATCCATAAACACCCCTGCTCCTCCCCCTTTCACGGTTCCGCAAAACAGCTCCCGCCCCCCCTCCCAGCGCCACCTTCCCGGACCCCAAGGAGAAAGAATCGAGGCGACCCTCACTCGCAGCTCCTCCCCTGCCAACCCCCACCCTCCGGTGCCGGCCGCAACCCTCCCAGGCACCTTGAGACAAACACCCACTAACGATTTTATGATTCTCTGCTCCTGGAAGCCGCGCTCAGCACAATCCCTGCCCCCGCCGTGGCGACAGGGGCCGGCCCAACCGAGGGGGTGGGGGATGGGGGTTAGTTTGTTTTTTCCACCGCCGCGCCCCCACACCTGTTTTTCATTCATTCATTCGTTCTTTCATTCATTCCGGGATTCGTCATTGCAGCCCGCCCAGCCCTCCGGATTTCGGAGAGGAGATGGGAGGGGGGCCGAGGTGGGGGGAGGCAGTGGCGGGGGTGCAAGTGCGTGTGGGGGGGCCAGGGTGGAAGGACCCCGTTAGGGGGCAGACTGGCCAGCTCTGTCACAGGGCCGCACGCCGGGGGCGGGGAGGGTCGTTCCCGGGGCTCGAAGTTGTTTTCGAGCCGCCGCGCGAGGACAGCCGCCCCGGCTGCGCCTCTTTGTCTCTGCCCGGCCGGCGCCTCGTCCCCGCGCCGCGTCCCCGCGCTCACCTGGTCTTGGACGACAGGAAGGCAAGTTTGATCAAGCCGTAGGTGAAGAGCGGGATACTCTCCTTGGCGACGCTGGCAACTTGCAGCCGGTGCTCCAGGATGTGGAGTTCCATCGTCCGCCGCCCGCGCGCCGCGGCGGCTC